ATTATGCTATAGTCATAATAAGGAACACCGAAAACTCTGTTGTGTTTTTAAGGCCCCTGCATCTTGCAGGGAGTAGGCTTCTCACAGCTGGTATCACATTCGAGAACCAAGCCCCAAGGATTTTGAAAGGGATGGTTGAGTTTGGGGTTGAGGTGGGCTTTGGCCTCGACGGGGAACCACCGGTCCAGGTGCAGCTTGGAGGATTGTTTTGCAAACTCTGGAAATCGGCTGTCAGTAGAGGTTAAGATAAGGATTTCCCATAAAGGGAACCCAAAACCTCCCCACAGAACCAGAGATCCCATCTCAAAAACACTTCTCCGGACTTCTGAGTGGCCTTTCTCCAAAACCGTTCCCCAAGCTCTACGTACAGCCCCGCAAGCCCTGAACGCTAAGCCCCAAACCGTACCGTTATATAGCAGATATTCAGGGTGGTCCTGGTCAGGAGTGCAGTGCCGACGTTGATGGCGCTATCGACCTGGGCGTTGAAAACGAGGAGTGGGCCGGTGTTTGGGGTTAGGGTTTAGGGTTTAGGGTTTAGGGTTTAGGGTTTATAGGGTTTAGGGCAAGGTTTCGGGTTTCGGGTGTGGAAGAGGTAGGATGGGGTTTATCAGGGTGTACCTGGAGTCACTTGGGTACCTGAAACAGGGTGAATGTGCCCATATGTGCCTTATTCTGGGTCATATCCTTGTTTTAGAGGTACATTGATTACTCTAGGGAGGGCCTAGAAGCTACAAGTACCATCAGGGATCTGGAGAGAGTTGGTATAGAGTTTTTTAAGGGGGTGGCTCCCTGTTGTATTACTCGAACATGCCCGCAAACCCTATTCTAGTTGTTGTTTTCTCCGATAGTGGGGAGGGCTTTTGACTGTTGGCAGCCAGGGGTATACATCGAAAAACTTTCATGGGCAGCTAGCCTGTCAGGGGTCTTTATGGGCAGTATAGCGGGTTCAGGCGTACTGCGCCGGTCTGGGTTTGATGGAGTTTATGCAGGGCTCACGGATACCTACCCGATGTAGAGTAGAGGCTGCGTACCTCAGAGAACCCAATACCTTCTCAATGAGGAAGATGCCTTAGAGTATATTAGGACTCCTAATATGATGGAAGCCAAATTCCTTAATTAGGGGATTTGTTTAAACACATGGACATACATGTAATTACATCAGACAGCCGGGGTAGTTAAACAATTTCTGTAGGGCTACAGCTTCTGGGACCTTAAGGACGTCATGACCCTTAAAAGTGGGAGCCGTGCTGTTGATGATATAAATCCTGCATTATCCATAATGAGGAATAGAGCATAATTCCTAGAGTTTAGGGTCCTTAAGGTACTGCAGGATTTATATCATCAACAGTATGTTTATCCACATACTGGTACTATAAATCCCTATACGTTTGTTGAACCATAAGCCCTTTATTAGGGTGAGTTTCGTCCTTAAGGGAGAGCCTACTTGGGTTGAGGAAGTGAAACCTGCAGCCATGCCTTCAGAACAATTTCTCTTCCGGTCCTCATACGTCCTGACTGCCCCTAAACCCTAAACCCTAAACGGAGCCTTACTAGAACGACATACCCCGAAATTGTATTCTGCTCCCAAGGCTTAAAACCACTGGAACCCCAACACCCTAAAACACATGTCGTCAAAAGATTACTAGATCTGGGTCCTTGTTGGCTACAATTTTGCATTTTTGTCATGATAAAGCCCAATAAGGATTAGAATTGACCATGTTTAATATAGCCCCAACAGGGAACCAGAGATGATGACGGTATGCCCCGAAAGTTGGTTCTACTTACAAGCACGAGGATGCCCAAGTCGTGATGCAGCTGCTGCAGCTACCCGGAGTGCCTTTGGCAAGGATTGATGCCGAAGGGCTCAGGGAGGTTAGGTCGGAGGATAGGCCTTAGTTGTGGAGTGTAGATGTCAGGGTTTAGGGAGTTTAGGATTAAAGGTTAAGAGTTTAATAAATTGAGGGTTACGGGTTTAAGTGCTTAAGGGTCGAGCTGAGGGTTCGGGGTTGTTAAGGTTTGGGTTGAGATGCTGTTCTGCTTTCAATGTGATGGCTTCGCCAAGTCGTCGGTCAAACAGCAAGCCCTGCTGGTGGCACAGGTGCTAACATGGCCGGAATTCGGTCGCGGTCGGCAGTGGCGGTCATGTCAAGGGTATACGGTCTCGGGCTCAAGTTGTGTTGTATGAGTTTGCACGACTTACGTTATCACTGGGCCCCGACATGCTTCACATTTGCGTTCCTCTGTTTTCGAGTCTTTAAAGTAGGTTCAGATAGCTTCCTGTATGTTTAATTTTCTCGATATATGCATACATATATATATATATATGTATATATATATATAACTTACTATGAGGGACACTGGTAGCAACATGGCACAGCCTTTGCAGAATCAAACGACGAGTACAGCGCAACAGCCACCCCCGTCGCAAGCCAGAAGCTTACCCACACAATGGTACATGTACGCTGATGGACACAAGCCTGCATGACCCTGCGTACCCTTGTTTTGAACTATGGCAGATTCGCTATTTTAGGGTCCATGTACCAAAGAGTATATGCTTCGGCCCCAACGTGGCCCAACCATAAACTGCTTTAAGGCCATTTGTGTACATGGACCCTTAGGGTTATAAAAGCATGATCTTGTCCTTAGCCGTTCCATGTTTTCGTCCTCAGAGTCGCCAAGCCGCTCCAGGCGAAACAGCGCAAGTGGGTGAAGCAGTGGCTGCTTCGACGTGCTGCTATCAACGGAGATTTGCCGCTGCTGGAGGCTTCCCAGCAACACGCAGGGTCTAATATAGGGGCCTTAATAATCAATCACCATAATACTATTTTCCGTATAATATACCCCAAAACCGTATTCTAATGATTACGGCCCCTATGTTATGCTCCATTGGTTTCTTGTTTGCTTCATAGCCTCCGAAGTTCTGCAGACCCCTAACGAACGCCTCTCCCCTAGATCTTCTGCCTCGGTTTAGGGTCTAGGGTGCAGACTCAGAAATCAGCTGACAGTGCCGCTTGGAGTTCCCCAACTGCCCGGCTATGGGGGTTTGGGGTTTAGCTTTCAGGGATTCATAGTCTGAATCGTAGACATCCCGACGGGTCCAGGTACCCAGGGAGTAGAGAGTTTTGCCCTAAATGGTCGGTGCGAGACCTCCCGCTGTGATTCGCATACAGGAAATCCGGTGCCCTGAAGCCCAAAGCCCCAAATCCCCAAACTCGAAGCCCGGAGCCCTAGCAGGGTAACCTGTGCTCTGACAGGGCGCTTTAGCTCTCCCCGGACTGGACGTCAACGACGGGGCAGAGAGCTACCCGGATGTTTAGCTTGCTTTTTTGCTGCGGTTTGCTTCAACTCCAACAAAGCCGAAGCTTCGCAAAGGGGGTCATAACCCTAAACCCTGTACACCCTAAACCCTAAACCTGCATGGAGGTGTCTGAGGCTCCAAGCAGGGCAGAAGAGCTTCCCTAAACCCTAAACCCTAAACCCTAAACCCTTTGAGGTTTCAGGGTTTTGAGGACCGACGAGTCTCCACGTAAGAGGCGTCAAGGTTGTTGGCTTTTGGGGGTTAATTGTGGGTTTAGGGTTTAGGGTTTAGGGTTTAGGGTTTAGGGTTTAGGGTTTAGGGTTTAGGGATTGAGGTTGAAGCCCCAAAGCCTAAACCCCAGACTTTTGGAGGGCTGAGGCTTCAGGCTCTGTTTTAAGTGGTTTGGGTTTCGGGTTTGGGGTTTATAAGGGTTTAGGGTTGTGGGTTTTGGGTATATATTATACCCCAACACCCTATTCTTAGTATTGAGCAGCATTGAATCCTTCAACGGACCCTAAACCCGAAATTCTAAGCCGATTCAAAGGGTAGCACTTTTGATAGTTCCGGTAGAACCCTTCAAAGAAGCTAAACTGTCGCAGGGACACTGCGCGGAGACCGGAGAGATTCGGTCGTACTATAGGGGCCTTAATAATTACCTGTACTCTGTTGGGGGTTCCTTATTATAGTTATATTATATTGTACCCCAAAACCCCATTCTAATTATTAAGGCTTCTATATTAGGTGTAGTTGAGGGCTAATTAGGTGCCCTTATCAGTGGCAAGGGCATTGGCATCCCAACAAGTATCGAGCAAGGAATCGTCCGATGACTCGCCGAATGCCAGTTCAAACCCTATGATCCCAACTTGGGTGGTCAAGGGACTCATAGTTAACAGAATGGAATGTCTTGAGTAACCACGGTTCTATAAAAGCCTTCACAGCCCATGCACAGATCCACTTTGAGCCTAAACCCTCAACCCTAATTTCTCGACCCTGGACCCTAGACCCTAAACCCTAAACCCTAAACCCTAAAGCCCTAAACCCACAACCCTAAACCCTAAGCCCTTCTCAAACTCCCCTAAGATGAGCCAGCTTTCGAGGCTCTGTCGGCCCAGCTTTGCTTCTTGCGGCCGAGGGTGGCCACGCAGCCGTCTGCCAAAGGTGGGACGAACGCCTCTACGGGTTCCTTTAAGGGGATCCGTTTAAAGGATCTCTTAAACCCTAAACCCAAAGCCCTAAACCCTTAAAGGAATTGTATTATATAAGCCTATAATACAATTTAAGGGGGTTCAGACTGTAGACCTTCCTGTAAGCTTGGGAGGTGGTTGGATTAACCTCGAACCTACTTTGTAGCGGGTTGAAACAAAGAAACCCTAAACCTTAAAGCCCTTATAAACCCCAAACTCTAAACCGTGAAACCCTAAGCCTTAAAACCAAAACCATGTCATCCCTAAGCCCTAAACCTGCAGGGTCTCTGCGAATCTCATCTAAGCCCCGAACCCTGAACCTTCTACTACCTTGAAGACCCTTGCAAAAGCAAGGGCCTTAGACCCTCCTACTATGAATCTATATAATTATGGTGCTTCAACCTTAAGACAGACCTTTCTAGGGTTCATTCAGTCCCAAAGCTAGAGGTCTTCGAAACCCAGGCATCGACATGCCAAAGCTGCAGGCCCTTCAGCATTGAGGATGAAATCCGAAACGTCCAACAACCTGAACCTTGCACCATCAAGCTTCAACCATGAAAGACCAAATGCCTAAATGCTACATCCTAGAACCCTAAGGGTCCATGTGCCCAACTAGTTTATGATATGGCCTTAAAGTAGTCCCTATATGCGTACTTTGGGACCAATGTTTTTTGTACTGTTTGGGCACATGGACCCTTAGGGAAACCCCAGACCTAAGCCCCAGACCCGGAATTTTCAAACACTCGGAAGTTCACCCTAAACCCTAATCCCCTAAACCCTAAACCCTAAACCCTAAACCCTATAAACCCCTAACCCCTAAACCCTAAACCCCTAAACCCCTAAACCCCTAGACCCTAGACCCTATTCGGAAGGCTGTTGCAAGCACGCGCCGACCTCTCCATGGCGGCCAGAACTGGCCTAAGAGGCGCGTGTTCTCTCAAGAGCCAAACGAACCCTCAAGGGGGGTTTAGGGTTTAGGGTTTTGGAGGGTTTATGATTCGTATCCCTTATTAAGTCAGGAATGGCCTCATTCATTTCAGTAAGCTTTCACGCATCGCCGAAGTTATGATAAGAAATCACAGCATGCAATTATAGGTGCAGACAGAGGCATTACACTACGACTCGTTGTGGGAGCTACGTAGCATGCCTGCTCGTGCTCTTTCTTTTCATGGAGGCCGCTGGACGGCAGCGGATGTCGCCGCGCTCCGCGCTAGCCGCCCTGAGTTTCAGGAGGTGTCCGGAGACAAGCAGACGGGCTTACACTTCGGTCTTCAAGTGCTACTGCGGTGACTTCGGTCTTCAGGTGCCACTGTGATGTACTGTTGCCTATATCTTCCAATCTAGTCCCTTCGTTCAGCTAAGCAACTTTATGGGAAGGACAAGAGCTACAAGGTAACCCAGAGCGTCCTTGGTACTGTTTTTTGGGGATACCTCCCCAAATCATAGTATTCCGGATAAAGAAGCCCTACATTCTGCTATGTAGAATAGGGGCCTCCATGGTTACCTATACTATTTTAGTGGTTCCTTAGTAAAATTGCAGTATAATGGGCCCCAAAACCCTATTCTAGTAAGCCCCCTATATTAGGTACTTAAGGTCTCCCGGGTAAGAGAAGAAGGGTCTAGACTGTGGGTAGTGCTAGGAACCCTAATGAAAGGTGAAAGGCGGCACCCTCACAAAAACAGGACCCTACAAGGACCCGAACTTAAAAACCTACCCATGTAGCACATGAAGTTGGAAAATCAGTGTTTCAACAACCCAAAAATTTGGGTTTCGGGCTCATGTCATAGTCGTAGTTTCCTGCTCTCCGATCCTGCTCTCAGACTTCATGCTTTGGGATTCTTAGCTTGGCGTCATGCTTGCTCCATCTCCGAGGTCTATCGCCGCTTGTAAAGTATATGTATATATATATATACATATATATATATATATATATTTATTTATATTTATATTTATAATTATATTTATATTTATATATATATATAACCAGGTGTCTACAAAAATCGCCAAGCAGTGTTCCAATACGAAGAAGCCACAAGTCTCATGGTTGCTACGGGAGTGAGACGCCTAGGACTCGAATCCGTGTACCCACGTCACCAATACCGAAGAGGCAGCTTCTGGCTCTTGAAAGCTAGGGAAAGAGGCTTTTGGGGGATTTGGTTCTAGGATTATCTAGGATTTTTTCGGGTTTAGGGTTTAGGGTTTCTAGGATGATCTAGGATTTTCGAGTTTAGGGTTCAAGGGTTTCGGGCATTTGGGTTTGGGGTTTGGGATTGCAGGCTTTTTTTGGTTTCCGGCGTCGACATTTAAGGCTCTTGGGAGGAGAGTATTGGGCTCCCACTCAAGATTCTTCGAACAGCTCTTTCCTGTACGACTGAACCCTAAACTTGAAGACCCTAAGACCCTAAGACCCTAAGACCCTAAACCCTAAACCCTAAAGCCCTAAACCCTTAAACCCTTAACCCTAAACGCTAAACCCTAAATCCGACTAACCCCCGGGAAGCATCCTTTCCCTCTGCTAAGCCCGACCTTAGCCTGAAGAGGCCGAGGAGGATCAGATAGATCCGATCAGCCCACAGACGTCGGGTACCGTCCGGGTCAGCCGATTGCAGCAGATCTTCAGAGCCTATGAGGAGAAGAACTTCAGCTCTGGTTGGACCTCCGAAAGTGGACAAGGTGCAGGGCGTGGTGTTCAGGGCTTAGGTTTGGGGTTCGCTCGGAGGTTCATGGCTAGTTATAAATGGACTTATAAGTCCCCTAATATAGGTTATAACTATAGTTACCCTACTTATAACCCTACTTATAACTATCCATGAACCTCCAAGTAGGGCCTATCAGGGACATTGGTGATCTAATGGTGTCATCGCAGCGCAGTTCTTTCGGCTTAGAGCTTAGAGTGTAGGGTCGGAGCCTTTGGGTGTCGGGTTCAGGGTTCTGTTTAGGGTTTAGGGGTTTAGGTTTTAGGGGTTTGGGGTTCAGGGTTCTGTTTAGGGTTTAGGGTTTAGGGTTTTGGGGTTTTGGGTTTAGGGGTTTAGGGTTTAGGGTTCTGGAAGTGGAGTGTGGGGGGTGGGGGGGGGGGGGTATCTGGCCACGGGTTGCCTCATAGGCTAAACCCCGGACCCTGAACCCGAGACCCGAATCCTACAGCCTTAAATCCTAAACCCTAACCAAATCTCCTAAACCCTAAAACCCTAAACCCCTAAACCCCAAACTCTAAAACCCTAAACCCTAAGCCCAAAAACCGAAACCCCTAAACCCTAAACCGTTACGGTATGAGACTCGAGCTTGAGCCTGAACGTTGAGACTGAGACGAGCGCAGGTTGCCTCAAGGATGTGGTCTTGTCCAGCGCGTTTAGCTGCTTGGTTTTTTGAGTAATACAGGAGCCTCAATACTTACCTATACTATTTTGGGGGGTTCCTTATGATAACTATAGTAGAAGGGACCCCAAAACCCTATTCGAATTGTTGGGGCTCTTACATTAGGGGTTGAGGGTTCAGAGGTTTCAGGTTACTTCGGCCACTGTTTCCCTAAACCCTAACTGAACCCTAAACCCTAAACCCTAAACTCTAGACCCTAAATCCTAAAAACCCAAACCCTAGACCCTACCCCAAGGCTCTTTTTGCTGTTATGGGCTTTCTAGGGGAAGGTTTGGGCTTTGGGGGCTAAGGTTTGGGCTTTCACTGTGGGGGTCCATGAGCCTTAGGGTAGACCCTATATCCTAAAAACCCAAACCCTAAACCCTAAACCCTAAACCCTAACTCCTAAACCCCTAAACCCCGAACCCTCCACCAAGGCGTCAGAAGATTCTGGGCCAGGGTTGAGTCTAAGGTGGGTTTCGGCTCTAGGATGCCTTTAGGAGTGTAGGGTTTAGGGTTTANNTTTATAATTATATTTATATTTATATTCATATTTTTTATTTATTTATTTATCTATTTGTTTATTTATATTTATATATTATATACACATATACTGTTGATGATATAAATCCTGCATTACCTTAAGGACCCTAAACTATAGGAATTATGGGATATCCCTTATTATAGGCAATGCCAGATTTATATCATCAGCCGTACATATGTATACATACATATATATATATATATATATACATATATATATATATATCAATAGTGAGAGAGAGCGAGTCTGTGTGTATATATATATATGTATATATGCACACCCCCATACATCTATATATGTGTATATACATGTATGTTGTCTCTCTCTCTCTCTCTCTCTCTCTTGGTGTCTCCGTCTTGCTCTGTAGTCCTTCCTTGTCCATCTTTTGCTCCATCTAGTCACAAAGGCACAAAGCACAAAAGACAGTCGTTAGGCAAAGGATGTGAGTTGTGTGTTACCCATATCCACCAGTGACGAAAGATGGACAGGCAGGCAGTGAGAGGCGTCGAGATCCATGACGATAGCAATAGCATCCCCACTTTCACGAACTTATCTCTCGATTCGTCAGCAATGTGAAGCAGGTCTTACACGTCCTCGGCCAGTTCGGCAACCAGCCGTTCGCGTTGACTGCAATGGCACGCGCCCCAGGGGACCCGGACCATAAACACCTGAACCATAACCCCAAAAGTCCTTCAACCCTAAACCCTCTAAGTAGCAACAAGATCCTGCCGCAGTTAAAACACCCAAACCCCAAGCCCGCAAACGCCCGTTAATCCTGAAGCTTCTAAGCCGCTGGGTGGAGAAGCTGGGTCGAGTCGTTTTGGGCTGGTATGATCCTGCCAGAATTGAAAGGTTGACCTGCCTTGGGCCAGGGAAACTCAGCAGCAGGAGCTGTCATGGCCTCCAAACCCATAAACCCAAAGCCCGTCGGGACCTGACCGACTTGAAGAATCAGTAGGTTGCAAGTATACCCTAAGGGTCCAAGTACTTAATAATCATATACTCTCCCAAACATTAACCTAGATAACTACTATCCGTAACCCAAGTACCTGATTATTGGGTCCTTGGGACCCTTAGGGATAAGCAAAAGGAACAAGCCCCCGGGCTGCAGGCTTAAACCCTAAACCCTAAAACCCTAAACCCTAAACCCTAAACCCCTAAACCCTAAACCCCTAAACCCCTAAACCCTAAACCCTAAACCCTAGACTCTGAGACTCCTTAGGCCAAGGGTCGCAGAGCAGGCGCTTTGGGTCAGATGGGTGGTTGTCAAAATTACGGTTTAGGGTTTAGGGTTTAGGGTTTAGGGTCCCTTTTTGGGTCCTTATTATAATACGGCACCGATTATTTAGGGTACCCCAAAAGGGACCCTAATTTTGACAACCACCCAGATGGGTTTCCTGCTGCTGTGTGGCTAAACTTTATATACATTTGTGCAGAATACATGGGCGGTTTAGGGTTTAGGGTTTAGGGTTTAGGGTTTAGGGTTTAGGGTTTAGGGTTTCTCCAGATATGGGGTACCTTTGTAGGAGCCGAAAATAGTACGGCCCCCTTGTAAACAAGACCGAAAAAAAGGGACCCTTTTTAGAGAACTGCCCGCGTAACATCCTTCCACACGACAAAGGCGAGCTGGTTTTCGGACCGACAAGACATGTGTCCATGCTATTGCGTATCGTCGTAGTTTTTATATCTTAAGAGTCGGGCGTTGATAAGTTCTTCATGCGGCATGAAGAAGCCGAGCATTGTTTTTTTGGCGTATCCAGGTTCTGTAAAGTTTCCATTCAAATCCCAAAACGCTAAACCCGAAACCCTTCAATTGGTTCAATTCGGCGAGGCGCCAGGCTCACAACCACCTTGACAATGAGCCCAAATCAAAGGGAAACTACAGGTGGAGAGTTTAGGGTATATAGGGCTTCTATAGGGCTTCTATAAGGTATATAGACCGTCTATAAGGCTCCTATAAGGGTAACTACCCACCTGAAAATGTCCTAGACCAAAACCATCCTGAACCCCCAAGCTCAACCCTGAACCCTAAACGCTCAACCCCCCAACACAACCCTGGAGCACAGGAGAAAAAAAAAAGAAGCGAATGCAGCTCCTGTAGAATCCTTGCGGAAGCCTGCAAGAAACTCTCAAAGAAGCCTAAAAGCCTAAACCATTCAGGGACAATCCTTAAAGGATACCTGAAAACGCCCTAAGCCTTCCTACCCCACTTAAACCCCCTTAAGCCATGCCAAACCCTAGCCCTAAACTCGCCTAAGCACGAAACCCTGAACTTGCACCTCTCCCATCAAGGCTCTTACTTATAAGCACGAAACCCTGAACTTGCACCTCTCCCATCGAGGCTCTTACTTATAAGCACGAAACCCTGAACTTGCACCTCCCCAATCTAGACTCTTACTTAATACCCAAAACATCCTTAGACCCTAAACCCTTTATTGCACTTCAAGGTCCCAAAGCCTAAACCTTAAACCTAAGCCCTAAAACCCTAAACCCTAAAACCTGAAAGCCTAAACTCCCTCAAACCCTAAATCAAGCTTTAGACCCTATAGACGCTTAAGCTGCTGCAGAAGGCTCAGTCCTTGAAGCCAGCCCCCTGCTTCTGAGTCCGGGGCCCGGCGAGGGGCTTTGGTCTTAGAGTTTGGGGCTTGGGCTTCAGGGCTTCAGGGTTTTAGGGCTTTAGGGCTTTAGAGGGCTTTGGGGTTTAGGGCTTTAGGGTTTAGGGTTTTAGGGGTTTTAGGGTTTAGGGTTTAGGGCTTTAGGGTTTTAGGGTTTAGGGTTTAGGGCTTTAGGGTTTTAGGTTTTAGGGCTTCCGTGTTGGGGGTTGGTGCTTGGCGGGGGTGTAACAGTGGTTTCCACGGAGCCTTTAGAGGGCTTTGTCGTTTTGAGGAATGTCCACGGAAAGTGTTATGAGGTCTGTGTGGTTTTTAGACACAAACCCTAAACCCTAAACCCTAAACCCTAAACCAGAGGTGTCAGTACTTAGGTTAAGGGTTCCAGGCCTCGTGGTTTAGGTAGGTTGGGACTTCGTCTGCTCGGATGTTTACGATGTCTAAGGCGTTTAGAGGGTAGGGTGTTGGGCTTCGAGCTTCATGCGATTAAGACCTTTTGCTTTAGGGCTTCACGGTTATCATGATTTATTATGTTGACAAGTATCGTTGGCTTGCTCTTGCTCGCATGTTGCTGTCATCAGGCTTGTGTTGCATGTTCTTGCCTGTCTTGCATGCCGCGTGTACCCTGGGCCCGAAACCGTTTGGGCCATAAGCCCCACCCGCAAGCCAAACATACCCTAGAATTCCTTGAATGAAGCACGGTGCAGCTTCAACCTCACCAATGCTTTAATGAACCTCGTGTAGATTCGTTCACTTTCCGAGGCTTCACCACCAGTAAGTCGAACAAACAGAGTTGAGGGCCTGTAAACCTTAATCCTGCGACTTCAGGCCCGTAGCATAGGGCCTTAGTATTTACAGTGCAGCAGGGTTTGGGGGTATGTTGTGTCGTACTGGTTTAGCGCCTATAAGGGGATGGTATTACAATGATTCCGACCGCCCCCCCCCATTTTGAGCCTTACTTTTTTGCATTTGGAACCCTGAGCCCTACACATAAGCGCGAAACGTCAAACGTGGGTCCGTGCAGAAACCCAAAGCTCTAAATATAACTGACAGGACAGATTCCACAGGGTTGATCTGGGCCGGCACAGTGCTAGCCTTCAGGGCCCTTTTTGGGTTCATGTTCTTTTGGTTGGGATTCGTGGTTGTTTACAAGTGTTTGGTGGCGTTCTTATCTGGACGGCGAGCCGGACTGTTAGTGGTTGTTCCGGTTTCGGGTTTGGGCCCATAGTTTTTTTCTTCAGGACATCCCCAACCGCCAAACACGGGGCAGGGTTCGGGTTGTTCTGGTGGTTGCTCTCCGAGATTGCTTTCAGAACCCACAGGGCCCCTGCAGAGCATGTACCCTAAGGGTCCAAGTACCTAATAATCATATACTCTCCCAAACATTAACCTGGACTACTACTATCCGCAACCAAAGTACCTGATTATTGGGTCCTTTGGACCCTTAGGGGCAACGGCAACGCATGGGAGTTCTGAAGATCGGGAGGATGTCCTTGTCTAGTCTAGTCCAGGCCGCGAACTTCCCGCAATGAGCTTCTCCAACCCGCTCCTCTGAAGCCTAAAACCCTACTTAAAGGATCATGGGACTTAGTAACTAGGGTTATAGATAAGGTAACTATACCTGTAATTGCTTATAATCCCAATCAAGGTACTTAGAACCCTACTTACTAAGTCCCATGATCCTCCAAGTAAACCCCAAGCCTCAACATCCCGTGGCCCCTTCAAGCCGAAACCTTTCATCCGCCATGTCCAGATGGGTGGTTGTCAAAATTAGGGTCCCTTTTGGGGTACCCTAAATAATAGGTGCCGTATTATAATAAGGACCCAAAAAGGGACCATAATTTTGACAACCACCCAGATGGACCATGAAGTGGAGACTCTCCCCTGAAGCCGCGCCGAGAGAGAAGCTTGAATTCGAGTTTGCCCGTCTGGGTTGAGGGCTCTCTTGGAGCAAGCAATATAGAAGCCTAAGTAATTAAAAACTACCGATAGTACTTCGGGGTTCCGTATCATACTTATAGTGTAACGGGCCCCAAAAAACCCTACTAGTTATTTGCCCCTACATTAGTGCTTGTAAGCTACGGTGCCGAAGTTGCGAAAGGAGCACAGCTTTCAGCGTCGTATCGCTGTTTTCTTGAGGTTCTGGCCCCTTGCGGTTCGCTTTGCTGAAAGCGCTGGAATCTAGAATGTCAAAACACCCGAACAGTAGGGTCCTCTCCCTTTTGCTCCCAAGAACACAGAATTGTGGTGGACTGTTGTGATCCGCTTAGTCGCTATCTCACGGTATGCTGATTGTCGCTACAGCAATGCCTGCCCACCATGTCTAAGTTACTTGCCAACATGGAAAACACAGTGCTTTGGGGTAGTTTGTTTATGTTTCTGATACCTGGTCCCCTGATACCCGCACCCAAGGCTTTGCTTCTGGGCCCTTTGTCTTGATCTTTCGGTCTTACGGATCGCTGGAACAGATGACTCCAGGGTGCTCTGTGGAGTTGCAGAATGTATACTGGGGCACCGGGACCTAAACCTGGTCCGGCCAACGCTGAGCAGCCCAACCCCATCAATTGTTCTGATATTGTGTTTTTTGGGTCTGGGGTTTAGGGCCCTTAGGGTTTAGTGATTGGGGTTGGGGACATTGAAGTTTGATATTGTTGCCCAGAGGCTCCAAATAGATTACCATTAGGGAGTTAGGTCCCTAAAGCCCTGATAAGGATGGTCTTTTGGGACCTAATTCCATAATCGTAGTATATGTGGAGCATTTAAGTTGTCTATGGTGTCATTGCTAGTACCTGTTACTCTCAGACGGGCAGCGCACGAAAGGCGCCGCGTGCTGTGAGCGCATGCGGGCCGTGACTTCGGGCAGCTCCGGGCCGATAAACTGTGAAAGCGAATGTTACGTATTAGTTTAGGGTTTAGGGTTTAGGGAATAGGGTTTAGGGAATTGCAGTGATAGGGAATTGCAGTGATAGGTGCTGAGAACCGTAAAAATCATGATAATGATACACATAGCAGCATCAACGGTCTAAGAAGGTTATCAGGATGATTGCTGCTTCAGCTTGGGCGAGTAAGTAAAAATCTCAGTTTCAGAATGCCAGGCGAGCATGCAATTCTTCTACTGCATTGACTACTTCTGTCTCTTTTCAAGTCTGACTAAAAATCAAAGGGCTTTACCTGTCGTTAGAGCCTTCAGGTATGATCCGCAATGCTTCTGGAGTCCTTATCTTTACAACAAGCATAGTAGTGACTATCAGCATGACTACTGTCATATTTCATAATAGACACGCTTCAACATCATGTACACGATCAGCAGCACCAACACCACCCTCACCATCGAAATCGTCATCATCACCGCAGTCGTCCCCACCATAATCACTGCTTATCAACACAAGCATCACCGCGATCACCATCATCGGCACTAGCAGCACCAGCCTCAAGTCGTTCCGCCTCCCCTATCAACACTATAACAAGAGTCAGTGTATCACCAATACGGCAGATACAAGTCAACAGACGTGCTCGGGCCCATGCTAGTCGTCATCATACTGTACTGCTATTAACAACTGTAGTCATACGAGTATTACGACTGCTAAAGGTGATACTCACAAATGCAAACAATCGCAAACCTACATACATACATACATACATACATACATATATATATATATATCTAAACCCCTAAACCCTAAACCCTAAACCCCTAAACCCTAAACCCTAAACCCTAAAGATAGATAGATAGTACCTAAACCCTACACCCTAAAGAGCATCCTTCAGGGCTAGGTCATAAACCCCCCTTGGATCCCCCTCCCAGGAGGATCCCATAAGAAGAAACTCAGAATCATGAGTAGTGGCATTTACTTATCATCCTTTCATAAACATGGCACAACAACAAGCCCTTATAGCAACCCTTTTTGATTCGAACTCCTTCGAGGAGGTCTTAAAGGAAGTAAGCTTAGTACTTTGCACCCATACTTTCGCTTGTCGCACCCTTAATGGAATGCTCGAAGTCCCTTTAAAATGACCCGGCCATTTCCCATGTCTTAAAACAAACCTCGTGCATTACAAGAAACCCTAAACCCTACATCCTAAACCCTAAATCCTAAACCCTAAACCCTAAACCCTAAACCCTAAACCCTAAACCCTAAACCCTAAACCCTGGCCCGACACAGCGAGGTCGCGGCCAGAAGCGCCAGGGGGCCGAATCCGGGCCTCCTGAGCAGCCGCAGTCAAAACTTCTTAGCGGACCCTGGACTCCACGTTTTAAGAGCTGACCTTGCTTACAAGAGGTTAGGGCTTGCATATATATATATATACACTTATTTATTTATTCATTTATTAATTATATTATATATATATATATAGAGAGAGCTTAACTGTGGCGTTTTGGGCTTGAGGGGGTCTTTTATGCACTTGTGGCTCTACTTTTCTTATATAGACTCCTGTTTTAAGGAGTTCTGTCTTCTTGGAGAGGCATCTGCTTGAGCAAGAAAGACTAGCATGCCGACTCAAGAGAACGAGAGCTGCGAACAGTTGTAGGACTTTCGGGTTTTATAGCTTATGGCTTCAGGGCTTAAAAGTTTTAGGGTTATCCGGTTTAGGGTTGGTCTGGTGGTTTTGGAGTGCGGGCTTTTGGGATTTGGCCTTTCGGGTTGTCGGGTTTCAGGACTCTGAATTTGGGTTCAAGACATAGAGGTAAAAGATAGTTTGGCGACGACTGGTCAGGGGCCTCGTCGTGGCAGTTTACGCATGTGTATTTTTTACAGTTAACACATATGGTAGTGCTGTGGTCTTCTTGTGCTGATCTTCAATCCGCACCGCTGAACCCTAAATCGCAAGCCTAGAGCGCCCGAGATACCGAGATACTGCATGGGGCTTAGGATAGCAATGTAGGTGAGTCTCGGGGTCCTAAACCGTACACCCCAAGCCGAAAGCAGCTTCCCGAAGCTGAGAATATCTTAGGGTTTGAGTCGGTAACCTGTACATAACCTTTTGGGGCCTATCTATATAATCCTACACGCTTAGCTTCGGTGGGCTCGGGTACTCAGCTCCTAAGACATAGAAGCCTCAATATGTAGAATCAGAACTCGGCTTTGAGGGTTTAGGGTTTAGGGTTAGAGTGGGGCTTGGGGGTCTATGCATAATGCTACACTTGGTAGTTTCCGAAAATTAGGGGTACCCTATTTGGGGGTCCTTATATTAAGGATCCTATTATTTAGGGTACTATATTGAGGGTCTTCTATTTTTGGAAACCCCCGCTTGGTATGAGGTATAGCCCTAAACCCTAAGCCCTAAGCCGGTTGGACCATTCTGTGGTCGGCGGGGGCCTCTCCACGCGCAGCCTAGACCGTGATGGACCCAGAAACTCCAAACATTAAATAGGGGTTTAGGGTTTAGGGTTTATGGGGGTCTGGCAAGTTCCGACGAGGTATCTTCTCGCAGGGCCCTGAAAGTATACCCCAGGGCCTCGTTGCAGTTAGGTTGAGTAGATCTTGTGTCATTCTCTCGATTTGTGGATTTTCTGGGGAGGGCTGCTGCCTTTCCATCTAAGCTCCAGCCATCCACGGCAATGACGCGGGACAGTTGAGCTGGGCTGGCTTAAAAAGTCACTGTTAGGGCTTGGGTTTAGGGCTCATGGGTTTCAGTCAGGCGGTAAGGTTCAAGGGTTTATAGGGTTCAAGGGTATAGGTTCGAGGGTTCAGGGTTTATGTAGTCATACAGGCTTACGGCGTGGTTTTTACAGCGTTCTTGACTCTTGACCCCACATCCGATCGAATCCTTCAATCGGCGTAATGCTCCTCATGGAAATAGCGTCGAACCACTCTTGTCATGCCAAGATGGAAAGGAAACTGATGCACCTCCAGAAGAAGACCACCCTAAGCCCTACCAGGACCCTAAGGACCTTACATTTTCAGGGCTCCTGACTATTATTTTCTCTATGTAGCTGCGGTTTGTAAGGGTATTTTTGTTGAAGGGAGGTTGAGTTAAGCACCAAACCTTACGCCCTAGACCCGAGCCCTCTTCTGAAATGCGAGTGAGCACCAGGCCTTTCAAGTCATAACACGCTAATGTACAAGCCAGAGTTGACTGCCAACACCGTCCCTTGGGGTTCCTGAATACTTTTGCACTGCTCATAAGATAGTATTTACAACATATCTCAGAGCCGTATTCTACTAATGAAGGCCTTATATTGAACACACCACACTGGTTACCCCCAAACCCCAAAACCCAAAACCNNCCCCCTAAACCCTAAACCCCAACGTATTCTACTAATGAAGGCCCTATAATATTGAACACACGGGTTGTGGGATTCATTGGACGTGGGCCAGGCCTAGACTTTCTTGCTGCTTAGTTTAGGGTTTGGGGGTTGAGGG